CTGGGGAGCATCGCCGCCTCTGGTGAACCTCCAGGACACAGAGGGAGCACCGTCGCACTCGCCGAACCCAAGGTTTGAGCGTGCAGTACCAATTTTAGTAGATTTTTAGTAGGATTTTGTTTAGATTCCCTCTTTCGCGTTTTTCCCCGGGTAACCTTTCGCCGGGCCGCGCGCCACGCGGTCGGCCCTTCCGCTATCTAATCGGCCAGGATTCCGCGTGATCGGTCTCTTTTGCTTCTTTCGACCAAGTCTCGCGTGAGCGGCCATTTTCCGAGTTTGTAAGCCTAGTCTCGTGTAAGCGGCTTAATTGTATTTTCGCGATCAAAGTCTCGTGCGAGCGACCGTTTCTCGATTAGGACGGCCTAGTCTCACTTGAGCGGCCCAATTGTATTTTCGCAGCCATAGTCTCGTATGAGCGGCCCTTTTCTTTTAAAATATCTCATTGCAGCCTCTCTCCTCGGTCGGATCAGGAAGCCGTGTTGAACCGAACTCAAGGTTGTTGTCTTCAGAGGTCGACACGTTAATTCCCGTTTTCGCGAAGCGCGAATCCCACTGTAATCCCCTCTTTTCGGGTTGGATATTTCTTGTGGAACCGTGCCTGCCTTCGATTTGATAGTTCCATGTAAAAAGTCGTAGAAACTGAAGATTCCCGATTGAATAACTTGTCGCATTTGTGTGATATCAATCCGAGTATAATTAGTTGAAATTTAATTATTTCCGACCGAATATTTTGTATAAAAGTTTAATGTGTCCGAAAGTTTGCGAATCTCGCGTAGATTACTTGCACCGACTTGTTGAAATTTCTGCCTTCTCTTGCGTTTCTTTTATTTTTTTTTGTATTATTGCTGCCTTAATCGACAAAACCTATAGTTTATCTTACTTGCGTATTTAATCGATTGCCGTCCGTTCACCTTTGAATAAATTCTTCGCGAATTTAGTCGTCTAATATTTTCCGATTTAATTTAGTTCCGTGTAGGTCTTTGTGTACGTGCAATCCTCATTTCGCGTGGTCTTTAATTTGATTAATATTCTTGTCCCGGAGTCGAGCCCAGCCTTATAATCGAACCATAATTTCGCGTAGCTTTGGATTTTTGGCTGTCTAAGAGCCACCGTTTCTTTTCTGTGCGCCTCGCCGCGCGCATCGTCCCTTCTAGCGCGAGCGCGCACTCCGTCGCCCAAGCCAGTACTGGATTGTGGGCCCGCCCGTGGCCATTTTGTGAAATTGTTAAATTCAATTCTTTTCAGTTGTGAATAAATAGGTCATTAATTTAATTCCGCCTCTGGTTTGCTTTCTCGAAAGGACCCCGCCCTCTCCGAGGTCTATTGGGCGTACTGAGCTAGCCCGGTTAAATTTCGTCATCGGCGACGCTGCGTCTCGTCTCGTATTGCTATCTTTCGTTCGATGTTGACGTGTCTGGGGCTTTAGGATAATTTTCGCCTCCGTTAGTTGAGGGACCGATCCTTCGGGCCTTACGCTGGTGCAAATCCGTGGGTGGGTTAGTAGGCTCATCGCTAGTGTGTGAGCTCCCGTACGCTGGTGCGAGCCCCGACGGATTGGGCCCGTGGGGTTCGGATCCCGGATTGGCCCTTTGGAGGGCCTGACACCCAAAAATATGTTGTTGCTGTTGAGCGATTACGAGACGGTGTCCCCATTTTCAGATTATTTATTTGTGACCACCGGAGGGTCGGAACATTAATTACCAGGATTTTGCTTGGGAGTTATGTCAGTAAAAATAACGTAATATGTTGTGACGTGTCGGAGGTACGCGACGCGACACCTGTGAAAGACAAATCGAATCTTGTCCCCGCGACGGGTAGTCAACGCGATAATTAGTTCGCGGGGGATACAAAAACAACCGCTTGATCGGCGCGTTGAGAGAGAGCCTCGCGCGCACACAACACGGGCAGGGTCACGAGGTTGCGAATTAATACATCGCGATCAAATTGATATAACGTTGATATGAATCACCCCGATTGGAGGAAATGACCACGGCCTTGACCCCGGCGAATCAAAGGGCGAGAAATTACAAATCGTCTAAAGGGTAACCATCGTATCCAATAGCACGTCAAAGAACGCGGGCCAGGGTGGGAACCCGACGATATAGTAATAGATCCCATGTACTCCACGGGTATAAAAGGCGTAGATTTTGTGTAATCGAGGTCCTTTCTGATCGTTCTTACCCGGTCGAAAGAGCCTCTGGACGTGGTGGCATTGTGCTGCTCCTCCAGATCAGTATCCTACCTTCGTCATACCCTTGCCAGGCATCCCCTGGCAAGAGGAAGATTAAAGGGCTCGAGGAGACGAGGCAACAGGGCCACTCCTCACGAGCAATTAGAATTCAGTGCCCCTAGTAGGCAGGTGAGACCGAGCACCCAAAGAAGTCCGGCAAAGCGTCCGGCAGGGATACCTCGGACCACCTGCAAACGGTGGCTATTAGACGGATTCCCCTTCCGGGAATTTTCGTCAAAAATCTTAGGAAATTCGGCGAGCCAACTCACCTGCCGTGCGAAGCGTGACGGCATAAAGCCGCTCCGCGGCCGGTCTCGGGCTCTCGCGTCTGCCCCCTCGGCGTGACGTCATCGCGACGTTCCCCGGAAGCCGGACGGCGGGAGAACATACAACCAGGACGACGACGTCGGACTCTTGTACCTGCCCCTCGGCGTGACGTCATCGCGACGTTCTCCGAGTGTCTGGCTGCTCGAGACGACGCGCATCCTGCTCCTCAGGCTCAAGAACGGTCTTGAGGCCGTGCACCTGCCCCTCGGCGTGACGTCATCGCGACGTTCCCCGGGTGTTTGGTCGCACGGGCAATTCCGTGCCTGACGGAGGAAACCAGGAACCTCGTATACAGGAGACGGCCTCGTACCCCCCGTCTAAGCCCCCGGCGTGACGTCACCGCGACGTTCCCCGGGTGACTAGAGGTACGGGACTATCCAGACTCTTAATACAACGTTCTTTCACACTTACACACCGAGGGCGTGACGGCATGGCGCTGTTCCCCCTTTGTTAAAGGGTCACGGAAACACATTACGCAAGGTGTGACCGTGGAGCCCGCCCACACATAATCTCGATTAGATTTGCAATTTTCGAAATTCAATTGAATACCATACTTGACGCGACAGAAAGACACACGGAGACCCTTATAATTTCGAGTCCACGTCCGAACCTTCCTCAGATAAAACACATAAAATTCCTGGATTCCCTACCAAACGGCTTTCACTGATGAAAAGTGCTTAGAGACTGAGGCTCTGCGCCGTTGAAAGCCCTAGCTAATCTGAGACTGCCAAAAGGAAATCCAGGAAGTTGCCAAGAGGCAATCTAATAAACTTCCTCGCGACCGCCCGATTGCGCGATACGACGCGACCGAACAAGGGGGAAAGGGCCGGTACGCGAGAAAAGTTACAATATATATTGTTATGGTATGCAGTTTTGTCGGTGCCTATGCACCTAGAAACTGCATCCGTCGAGGGTTCGAGCCTCACGACTCCTGAGACCGAAATTAATTAAATTTTAAAGATAAGAAAAGAAAAGAGACTGGCGAGAGAGCGAGGAGAGCGTTTACGAACGATCAGCTGAGCGCGTCAATATTGTGGATTTCGGGAGGCCTGTCCGCGAGAACCGGTTCGAGCGAGTTTTTCTAATGATAAGCGCTCGGGCGCCGTCCCGTCTAAGTGGAATTCGGCGATTTAAATTTCCGGGAAAATGTTCGGATTTTCGGCACGCCGATGCAGTCCTAATTGGATTAAAGGGATTTTCCCTGAGTCATGCGTTGAACTCGAAAAGGAAAGGATAGGAAAGGAATTGATCCTCAGTAAGAACGACTTAGTCCATTACCGGTGCGTTCTATTCGTTCATCATAGAATCGACATGGAATATGGCAACATGGGATGTAAAGGTTATGTGGAACGGGTGGTTTGGGGTAGAATTCAAATAGGAAATTAACAACCGTCTACGCGACCTCCGCGTACCCCTTCCCCACGTGTCGAGTTCTTACCGACGCGTTTGAATAAAATTCTAACTGTTGGGAGGCTTGAAAAACGCCATTGTTTATTAACAACGCGTATGAGAAACGATCACCTAATTCGGGTGGCTGATCAGCCTTACTTGAAAGAATACGCTTAAAAATAGGTCTCGCGGACTAAAGTCGACCACGGATCTATGTTTCATCCGGAGTTAATTTCTCCGGGTTTTAGTATCACTTAAATTAGGTTATCCAGCCGCGGATATTGGCTGGGTTAAGGCTTTGAGGATCCGGAATTCTGCCATCAATCGCAACGTGCGATATTGAGGATGAAAGTGAAGGATTATAAGAGATAGGATTTTAAGAACTAGGATGTGGGTGTGGTCGCTATACCAGACCCACTGGAACACGGACCTGAAAATAAACAAAACAAATTCCTTCGTTCTATTGAGAGTTCTGTCCGTACTCGAATCGAGAGCGGCGATGCTCGGTCATCGAGTTTTCGGATGAAACTCTACCGAACGACTTCTCGTCCAGACAACTGCCCGGCTCGGATCGAGAGCGGCGATACTCGGTCACCGAGGGACGCGCAGTTCCTCAACGAGGATATTTCTGGGAGAAAGACGTTTCCCGATTTACTAGCAATAATCTGGGAGAAAGACGTTTCCCGATTTACTAGCAATAATCTGGGAGAAAGACGTTTCCCGACTTACTCGCGTTCGCGGTTCTAATCCAAGAGTAAAAGGTCTTTGATCGATATCCGATCGATATCCCAGACTTAGTGACTTCTCTCGCGATGCTCTGCACTCGCGAGCCGCGCTTCCCTCTCCCGAGGCCTCCCTACTCTTACGCCATACTAATTGCGCATGTCCTAAGTATACCGAAATAATGGTCCTAACGTACAGTGGCTCATGTTAGCCGCTTGACCCGTTACAATATTTATAATCTAAATATTTACGAAAGCATTCATAAATTATTTATGTAAACTATACCTGTAGACACACTGTCACATTCTATTTGAATTCATCCAATTTTCAGGCTATCCAAGAGCAAATGACAATACACGGCCAGGAGCCGGTCAGTTTTGAAGATGTGAAAGATGAGATATTTGACATGGTGAAACCTGCGGATCCCTGCAAAATCACGTTGCAAGATCTCTTATCTTGGTATGTTTCCTTAAATTTATAATATTCGTCAATGGTTAACTGCAATAACAATTATTTCCTTGATCAGATTGTACATATACCAACTTTACTGCAGTGTTTTTTATCGAAAAAACATTTTTGGTATCAGAGCCACTTTTCAGCTTATGCCCAAGCACCGCACAATGTACAATATCCGCGAAACCAATTGTTAAATTTAATACAGAGATATGGAATGTTTTATATTTCACTCCACTTGGAATTTTTTCGTCGACCGCTTTCGGTAGCACCGCGCGGTGCTGTTCAACCTGAGACCGGACTTTCTTTTTCCTTATGCTTTATTATTTCGATTTTGATTTTATATAGAATATCGAAAATCTGCTCCCGACGCGGCCTGGGTCACGGGCTGTCGGGGCTCAAAATTGGCCGTAAAAGAGTTGGGCGCCAGTTAATTTTAATTAAATGAACAAAAACAATTCCATTTATTTCATTTCACAAAACAATTAATTAGGGTTCAAATGGGATGACCCAAAAGGAAGGAGATTCCGAATTTCCAAGAACATTAAATGAATTGATTAAGCAGAATGTGCAAGTACTTATGAAATGAAATGTGTTTCCGAAAGTCCTTGACAAGAAACCGACTCTCTTGGTTTAACCGTAATTGCTCCATATGGACTTCCTACTTACATTAACTTAATAATTAAATTTACAATTAAAAGCACGCAATTGCCAAAAGTAATGGACGGGTCGAGAGTTAATTCGAGAGTGATTCTCTACGATCGATCGGCTCGCTACGTGTTAAGAGGGGGAATCGGTGGCTTCGGGTACCGGACCGCGAGCTCGTAGGCGACACTTAAATCTTACCCGACAACCGGCGCCGAATTCAAAATTGATGGTAGATTGAGGTTTCCGTCGCTTTAAGGCCTTAAAAGTGTATAATTTACTATAGCCTTTCGTGGGACCAGTCGCGAGACGTTGAGGCAAAATTTTCGGTTATAAACCAATAGGCTCCGTAACGAGGCTTTTCCAAATATCTGACAGAAAAGTATTCCAATCTGCATGGCTTCGTTAAAGTTAACAATACTCATTCAACATGTTCAGAGAACGAGATTTTCTGTTCAATTTGATGCTCCAGGCTAATAATCTCGAATAATGATAGGTTTATCTTTGTACCGACTGCGCTTATAACGTTACTCTCCTTAAGATGATATGAAAGGCGTTGAAAAATTTAATTGACGTCGATAAAACAAAATTCATCTATACCCTTTTTGGTGGTAATGTCGTTTTGAATTCTCAAGTGGTAACATAAGCTGGTACCTTACCGACATTTATATTTATGATGAAGTCTTTTACAGTCGGTTACGAGGCTACCCTATTTCCTCAAAATAGAGAGGCGCGCATTACATTAAGTATGAGTCAGTTACCGGAAGATAAATATCGAATTCAAAGCAACAATAATATCATCTGATTAACCCAATCGAGGAATGTTTTGGCTTGTTTGCACGCCTTTCGCACCGAACTGCACTCTGGACCAAAACACAGGGCCTACTCATCCGTCAACATAGTGCACCGTTTTTTCCACACTGTCGTGAGTCCGAGCCGCGTCAGAATTTTCCGAGATAATTAAATCACCGGTTTCCGAGGTGCGAAGACCCGAGTAAGAGAGAGGCAGGCGTGCGAATTAGAGAAGGATCACGATGTCTCGTGCCGCGCAGACAATATTTCGGTTTCTTATATGTCTAGGCGTCGCTCGCTCAGCTGATCTAGGCCGAAATTCCGAATCGAACTCGTGTTTCGATATCTCGAACGCTTTCAGATTCTTGACCAACTTTGACTGATGATTATTTAACTGTTTTTACTTGTTGTAATGGATTTGATTGGGATAGGAATTGAACTCTCAGATTGACGATTTATCTCATCAGAGTACGCCAACTGTTCATCATCGAATCCGGATAAAAAAGATTCAAGGTGTGGGTGCAAATGGGTTGGTTTCCTAAGTATTTCGGAATCCTGTTAATTTAGTAATTTCTGATTCTAGAGAATTCCTGAATTTGCTTTGAATTAATTAATTCGATCCCTGAAGTATTGCTCTACAGATGTTAGTCTCAACTTAATTTAGGTTACCCAGCTTCGGATATCCACTGGTTTTAGGATTTTGAGGTTTGAGAGGATGTTGTTGTAGGTTCTTTGTTTTGCACGTCCTCGTGCTCCGATTCTTCTTATCGACTGTGAAAGTCCGGCAGATCGAAGGCAATCTCAATGATTGAGTCCGAGCTGTCTTTCACAATTGAAAATAGTGATAGTTCCTGCTTCAGAGCTGTCGCATTAACAAGGCTGAAGTTACGGATCTACACTTTCTCTGTATTGTTTTTATTTGAACCTGCTTCGATTGACATATGTCAATCGAAGGTATGGCTCCTTTTCTTTCACTTTTCTTTTTCTTTTCACGATCTAATGTTCGTGTTTTTGGGAGATGCTGCCATAGCACAGTCCCAGGATAGGGTTTCAAAAGGATTTCGAATTTAGGGATGCGACGGCTACCTCGATGGAAGAGATCGCTGGGGTTAGGATTTAATTTTAGAATTCTCCTGTGTATAAATTTTATTTCATAAATATTTTGTGAGTCCGTTTGACTCCGCTTTTTCTCCTGACTATTCTAACTTCCTACTTTTGTCCAATTGGGACCTGAATTTATCCTACTTCTATTAAATTTGAGTGACTGTTCCCATCGATATCTAAATTTAATCTGTCATTTAGAATTTTACTTGAAGTCTCCTGGAGTCTCGCGGCCTCTCCCTACTCCACGGCTTCCTCCTACCTCTCGTCCTTTTCGCACCGCCTAATTCTGCGGTTATTGCGCACGCGTCGATCGCCGTCGATTTCGGTCTCGCGCAAGCGCTCCTAATTCGCCCCGTTACAATAGTGACTTCCTGATCACGTTCGATCAAGCCCTAGCAACAAAATCCAAAAACAAGGAAATTGGACCCTGTCTTCATAGGCATCTCAAGGATAAGATCTCGTATAAAAACGGCACCAAAAGAGACCACGTCACTAGTCTGCGGCAGTCTGTCAACCACTCTTGTACTAAGACCGAGTTCTCAGTCAGTCAGTCCACACTCTGTGTGGCTGGGGTTCTCTGAAGAGCTGACCGTACCGTTAGTAACAGTTGTGCGTTTCGGTACTCCGACATCCACAAGCCAACAGTGAGAAGAACGACAACGCTGCGAATTCCAAACCAGCAGGAGAATCTTGGCAAGCTCCAACTCTAGGGCACGCCCCGGTTAGAAGGCGTTCATGCGCAGTTCATCGCAATCGGCAGGACGTAGGAGAGACGTCACCGGAAGTAAAGGCCTCTGCAAAACCAAGGTACAGGTCCTCTTCGAAGAGCTCCACTCTTTCACCCTTCATCACTCTCTTTCTAAGCCTATTCCAAATTACTAAACCCGCAACAGAATACGGTATTCACCTTCCGGTAACGACTACCACATTCTAACTCCTCACAATATAAATCGCAACTCATTAGCTGCCCCTGCTGAGTAAGACAAAGCGCACCTTGCAAGCGAAGAAGATCGCGTCAGCATTCCGCAATTGATACGCGGACATATATCGTTACATTTCCGCAAGCCGCTAGCGCGCGGCCTCCATAGTCCTTGCCTCGTCCCGCGACGATCCGCTTAGCACAGCATATCTTTTGCTCACCTTACCCTCATGGACACGGTACCCCTTGCATCGCAAATAGAACTATTTGATTCAATATAAAACGACAGCTTAATTCTCACGAAACCTTAAAACCTCTCCTGAGTCCTCATTGCAACGTTCGAACCACCCTTTGAGGACCAAAAACCTATCGATCCCACTAAACAGATTGACATAGCCGCTCGAATTATCCTCTCCATATTCCTCAAATCATAAACTGGTTACGCCTGCGTACGAGTTCATTCTTTTACAATCACTATACCGTCCGGACAAATCTGTGAAATTCCCCCGGCCTCGCTAGCAACTCAGCCGCCACGTAACAGTCTATGTTAAGAGTTATACGAAAGAAACCGTTCCATATGTCATTTCGGTAAAGTAGTGATAAAGAGATATATGTAAAACTGTCGAAATCCTGTGAATTCATTATTCTAATGACTGTCTAGGACCAACGTCGCCATCTGTGACATTTAACTGCAACTAAATTTCTGCTCTAAAAACACTTGTTAGCCCCAGGACAAGCCAGCATTCTCTTCCAATCGTTGGTGAAAGTATTTACCACATTTTTCCATTTGACTTATTAATGTTCCATTTCCGCGGTATTCTAAATTGTTCGAGCTATGTCCTGAAACTCTTCATTTTCGATTCTAAGCGTCCAAGAAGCGTAAAACATCGAAAACGTGCACGGACCACGCCAGGTTTGTTCTAGTCCATGATAAATACATTTTTTATGGATAATGAAATTTCATGAATTTCAGGACTTACTTTACGGCCTCTATATTCACGGGGTAAAGAGGGAGAGAGAGAGAGAGAGAGACATCCAAGATATCGGTACACCCAATTCTCCGAATATATATTGTGACAATGCACCCGGTGGGCGATCGCCCCAGGGCTCCGAATGTTGAACAATAATTCTGAAATCCATTAAAATCATTTCCGAAGGCAGTGGTATTATATTTTAATTGTATCATTTCACCACGTCTTACTTCGGCACACTCGACGCTCAAGGCCGACGAGGAGAGGAGTCCGAATACCCGTTACGTTACCTGTAATTTTTTTTTTTGTACTATAAGTTGTGTATGGCTTGGACGTTAGGACGTCCGCGGTGAGGCCAGTGTGGGCATAATTTCATATCGGGCGCAGCCGGCCACGCCTGCAGATTTATAGTCTCCCTGGCGCCCCCCCCCCCCCATTCTGAGAGGTTATACTCCCCATTACTTCCAGCGACCCCACCGCCACAGAGGGCCCGAAGGCCCAAAACGGGCTGGAAAAACCCGACTACTCCGGATCGCTCGTTCAAACCCCGGGGAGGCGCTGGCCGGGTCGGGGCC